CCTGGATTGGCAATATCACTTATTTCCGGGACAATATATCTTTTGCACACCAACATTATGACAGGCGTTCATGAAGACGAGGTGTTCTGCGCATGAGGGTGGGGGGCGCTCTTCCATGACATTTCAGTGATTGAGCCCTGAAGCTTCAGTCTGCACAATACAAAGATCCTGAAGCATCAGCAGCGGTCGTCTGAAGCCAGGACTGATGTTTCATGTGTTTCTCACTCACAGTCAGTCGTGACATCTGCCCTGGCGTTTGTTAGCATGCTCATCAAAGTTCAAGAGAGAAGAGACAGTGATGCGCTCGAGCTGGATCCAGACCCACCACAGGTCTTTTGTTACCGGGTTATTTTTACTAGCTTAGAATTATAGCAACAGTGGATAACAGCTCAGTTCATATATATCTCTACAGCGCCTTCACCATGAGGATCGCATCAAAGCAGCTGTAGTTGAGTTGGGTGTGATGTGCTCGTCTCTGCTGAAAACAAACACTGAAGAGACACTCCAACCAGCCAATCACAGTCATTTACACCATGTTGATCCCAATCCATGAGACCCTTGTTCACCTTCAGAACATGATCTCAGATATTGAGATGAATCTGAGAGCTCCCTCATCCTTCACAACAGCTCTTATGAGAACTTTCGGCTCCGCCCACACTAATCTGGATAGACGCTGCTGTTTATTTCCTCTCCGTCTGTGTGAAACAGTGAATGTGTGACTGTCAGCTTCAGTAAACATTCCCTGAGCACTGAACAGAGTCCATACAGACACACTCACATGCACCTTTAATAAAGCACCCTCAACATCTGCAGCACAGTGTCCTCCAGCATATTAGCTGACTGGTCACATGACTGCGTCACATGATCATGGTTTTCAAAAGCCTCTGTTCCACTGTCCACCCTGAACACGCTTCACATGTCTCCTCTTTGTGCAGCGTTTTCAACAGGATCCTGTATGTTTTCATTTGCTAAACACACTCAGTGCAGGCGCAGAGCTGACATGATGGCAACACATTACAAAATGTAAACTTTTTGGGTGAATTAAGCCTTTAAATTGACTTATTTCAAGACAGATAGTGAGTCAGGTGGGTTGAAGATACTTAAGATACATTTTTCAACCAAAAATGAACAGTATGAGCTCTCCCTCGAGCGCTTCCAACGCTTTCTGAGCTTCTGTCCTCTGTTGAGCACTAGAGAAGATAATGTGTAGAAAGCTGTAACCATCGACTTTCAGAACAGAAAACAGAAATACTGTGGACGTCAGTGTTACAGCATTCTTCAGGATATCTTCTGTGGTGTTCAACACAGGAAAGAAACCCAGAAAGCTTGGAATGGAGTAACGGGAGAGTAAACCGAGACAGAAGGTGTATCTTTGGCTGAACTGAGACGTCTGCTGTACGCTGATGTGACTGTCGTGTTTCTGTTGTTGTGATATTCAGGACGGTGGTGATGCCCATCGCTCAGGAGTTTTCCCCAGATGTGGTTTTGGTCTCTTCAGGCTTCGACGCTGCAGAAGGACACCCGTCTCCTTTAGGAGGATACAAAGTCACTGCCAAATGTATGATCTCTCTATTTATAATGCAACTTTGAATATGAACGCTTAAGGAAACACGTTACAGTTTAATCTCTCTCAGAGTTAAAGAGTTGAGTTTTACCATGTTCATCCATTCAGCTGATTTCCTGGTCTAGAGAGAACACTTTTAGCTTAGCTTAGCATAGATCATTGAATCGTATTAGACCATTAGCATCTTAAAAATGACCAGAGTTTAGAGAATGATGTTATGTAAAGCTGGACTCTTCTGCAGCCTCCTCATGTGCTGAGACCAACAGAGGATGTAAAGTTTTCTGGACGGATGTGATCAGGAATTATACTGTCAGTCCAGCGTAATAATCCGGACACTCTGCTGTTGTACTGTGACCACACCAGCGCAATGATATTACACAACACTGTTATTTTCAGCTGCACAAAACAGTGCAGGGTTCCTTTAAAACAGCCCTAATTCCCCATTAAATGCCTCAGTGTGTGCTGCGTGGGCTTCTAACAGTGTTATGAGGGAGAATGCAGACGTGTACAGGGCCAGCGCTGAGGCTTTACCTGCCCTCTCTAAACACAAGTTCAACTTTAGTTTGTTCTTATCAACATATTTTAAATATTGTGTCAAAACAAACATAAACTGTGTACAAAGAAATGTAAAATATAGCTGTATAGATATATGTGTCTACCTTTAAAATAAGGCCAGTGTCCTCATCACACAGAGAAGTATTGAGAACAGCTCCTGATCTAAGGAAGATCATTAAACCATGTCGGTTATCAGCGATTTACTGAGATCTACTGCTGAAGTCGTTGTGTTTGTGATGAACAGTGCTGGGGTGGATGTTGGCCTGATTGGGAAGCTTACATTGACATTAGTAAAATAAGACCTGCAACACAATATTTGTTTTTGCCCCATTGACTTCCATTATAATCACATGTATTGATTGTAAAGTCATGACCCTAAACTCTGAACAGCACACAGGGGTTTTTAGGAGTCTGAGCACACCCCGGGGTAAAGTTGAGACTGTTCTCTCGGCAGGTTTCGGCTTCATGACTCGTCAGCTGATGACGCTAGCAGGAGGACGTGTGGTTCTAGCGTTAGAGGGAGGTCACGACCTTACAGCCATATGTGACGCGTCTGAAGCCTGTGTCAGTGCTCTGCTGGGGCTGGAGGTACAGATTTCTCTGTCAATAACAGTATCCATAACCATGTAGAAATACCTAAACATGACTATTATGAGCTAATCAAGATCTCAGTGAACTACAGCACGAGCCATGAGTGAATATTGGCCACCTTAATTACTTAATCGTTGATGTTTGCTGATATGATGAGTGGTTGTTAATGTGTTAATGTAACCTGCTGTATGAGAAAAATAATCATTAAAAGTGCACCTTGACCAGCATGAACACCAGACCTGTTTCACCTATTATTATTGACAGAACTCATCGATCCCCTTGTTCGTGGGGGTCATTATGATGTCGACACAACACTTTCCTGTTGTATTTTAGTGTAAACACACACTTGACGGACGTACACTTCACAAGAGTCCAGTAGTTGAAATGAAGTAGACATGAGTAGTTAATAATGATGTGCCTCTTCAAGGAAAGTCATGACGTAATGATGCATTAACAAGAGGAAAACAAACCCAGTGTGTTTCTCGATGTGTTTTGCTCTAGGAGCCTCTTCCCGAGTCGACTCTTCTGCAGACGCCCAGCGCTAGCGGAGTGCTGTCCCTGCAGAGAGTGCTGCAGATACACAGTGAGTCTCCGTCTGCACACAATTAGCCTCAAATGCACCGGCTTCCTGGTAGCACACATTTATTTCATTCTTCCTCATTAATTATAGTCATGATCGTCCTCGTTGTTGCACCACATGGCTCCGGCTCTGCCAAAAATATTCCTATAAAAACAAGGGTACAGGACGCACGCTCTACGTGGCGTACAGCACTGCCTCTCCCATGCTCTCTGTCTGCGTCTGCATGCTGTATTCCTTTATTTCACAACATTCTGTGATCACTTTAAACCTGTGCAATCCTCAACTGAACCCACAGAGAAACCTGATGTACACAAATACTGTGTGTAAATGATACTGTGTACATGATACACAAGCTCAGACTTAGATTTCTCATGTGTAAAGCATGTCAAATATGCAGCATATACTTCCTACTATTGCCAAAACGGCTGCTTTATGTTTGTTCAACCATTGCAATTATGAATATGCATATACACATGAACACATATTAGATATAATTATAAAATGTAGATTTATGGCCATGTTATAGCAGATATTTGGAATATACTGTATATGTACATATTTAAAAATTACATTGGTTGAAACTAAAAACAAGACGTTTTTGCAGTTGGAAGTGTTCTGCAGAATGTTCAAGCTGTTCTCAGTGCACACAGTGTACACCGTGAGACTCCAATGAGGTCAAAATAATGCTTTAAATGTTTCATATCAGGAATGTTATTCATTAATTGAGATGTCATCATTAGAATCAGCTTTATTTCTACACTGAAAGCTTTCGGGAAAGTTTGATGAACTTCTTGAGCTGTTTTGGGCCTCAAAAAATTCTTTTTTAAATGATAAATAATTTAAGTTGATTTGAATGACTGTTTAAAGTCTGTGGACATAACGTGCTAGTGCATTTATTGAGTAAGGTCAATGCTTTTCACTGTCATCTGCAATATATAATATATATAAACGCAATATAACACGAGTAGCAGAGCATTGTGGCTGTATATTGGCACTGGTGAAATGATAAATATTTAAAATAGGCATTTTCCTTATGAATAAACTGCACAGCTGAAATCTAAACAACAACATTCTCACCTAAAAAAAGACTCAAAGCTACATGATGTTGTCCAACAGCTGCAATATTTGACTGTAGAGTGTCCTGTATGTGGGAGGATTAATACACAAGGGTGAAGAGGCGGTACAAGTGCTGTTATTTGCAGAACACTGCACAGTGTCTGTGTGTGTGTGTGTGTGTGTGTGTGTGTGTGTGTGTGTGTGTGTCTGTGTCTGTGTCTGTGTGTGTGTGTGTGTGTGTGTGTGTGTGTCTGTGTCTGTGTCTGTGTCTGTGTCTGTGTGTGTGTGTGTGTGTGTGTGTGTGTGTGTGTGTGTGTGTGTGTGTGTGTGTGTGTGTGTGTGTGTATGCTTCGTTATATCAGGGTTTAGAGTGGTTCTGCTGTGTGTGTTCTTCATGAACATCGGTTTGTTGGTGTCCTTGCTGTGTGTCGTGTACTGTCAGTTGATTCTGCATCTACTGTGCTGTCCTGAATGAAATAGAGTAAACGGAGTGTGTGTGTGTTTTCTCATTGTTCTGTGTGTCAGGTCAGTATTGGTCCTCCCTGAAGCCGCTGATGGGCACGGTGGGCATGTCCTTTCTGGGCGCTCAGAGGAAAGACTGTGAGGAAACAGACACGGTCAATGCCATGGCGTCTCTTTCAGTCGGAGTCCTGAC